AGATATTATTTTTTCTTGACCGAACGTGCCAGAATCGAAGGTAAAATGTTTTCATATAAAACATTTACTCCAAATGTGACCGACAAATTGATTGAAATTTGGAGCAAACTTAACATTGAAATTTTACAAAGACCGAGTGTTATTAAAAAATTGAATACTTTGCTTGACAAATATAAAACGGAAGAAAAACACAAAACAAGCACAACATTCGCAGCGTTCGTACAATCCATAAATGAAATATTTTATGTTGGAAAATGTCAATGCGACTTGAAAGCATCTCTATGCTCATGTGGATTGATTCCCGAAAGCTTGAAAGAGTTCATGAAGGATCAACATAATGAAAGAAAATCTACGATTCCAGAATACGTGGCAGAAAATGAAGAGCAAGCACCAACGTCTACAATAATACAAACAGCTACCGACAGCCAGGACGAAACATACGTTCCAGACGGAAGTATGGATATCGATGATGAACCATCAGAACATGCAACGAAACGAGGACCATACACACCAAGATACGATGTGCCCAGCTTTGCTGCGATGTGCGACCGATTTGGTGTATCTGATCGAATCGCATCGGCATTGGGAACCTCATTAATGAAAGACATTGGCGTAAAAGACGACAAAGGAAATTTGGTGATTATGGACAAGTCTAAGGTTAGACGCGAAAAGTCCAAATCACGACAAGAAGTAATGCGCAAAAGATATGATGCGTCAAATATGATTTCTTTTTCGTTTGACGGCCGAAAAAACGATTCGCTGACAATGGAAAAAATCGACAGCAAATTTCATCCAAGAATGGTTAAAGAACCACATCTAGTTGTTTTGAAGGAACCAAATTCACAGTTGCTGGGCTACACAAAAGTAGACAATGAAAATGCGGAGCACAAAGTCATCAAATTAAATGAATTTTTCGTCAATAAAGAAGTTTCTTTGGATTCATTGATTGGCATTTGCTGTGATGGAGAGCCGACAAATACTGGTATAAAAAATGGTATTTTGCGACGCTTCGAAATGCAGTTAAACCGACCACTGCATTGGTTTGTGTGTCTTTTACACTTCAACGAGCTTCCGTTACGACATTTGTTCGAAACTTTGGAGAAATCATCCACCACTGGACCACGATCAACAACCGGAACGTTGAGCAAACAAATCGAAACGTGTGAAAAACTTCCAGTATGTAATTGTTATAACTTATTATTTACTATTTAAAATAGAAAACAATAATTGAAAATAGTCTATTTTCAATACT